GGCCACAAACCCTTTCAGCTCCTTAAATCTTCTCTGTCACTCCTCCATTGGGAACCCCATGATCAGTTCAATGGTTAGCTATGAGTATCTGCCTCTGTATATTTCAAACTTTGGCAGACCACTAAGGAGATACAACTCACAGACCACATGAAGCTCATGAACAAGGAAGATCAAAGTGTGGGTGCTTTGGCCCTTCTTAGAAGCAGTAACAAAATACTCAAGGGAGCAAATGTGGAGACAAAGTGTGGAACAGAAACTGAAGGAGGGGCTGTCCGGAGACTGCTCCACCTGAATATCCATCCCTTATGCAGCCACCAAAAGTATGGATGCCAGGAAGTTCATGCTGACAGAATCATCCTATTAAACAGTCAGGAACATAGGCTTTCCTGCTTTTGCTATATTTAACTAGTTCCAATCTTTTACTTGAGAAATACAGATTAAGAATGTTCCTTAGGCCATTTCACTTTCTCTGAGTGTTTAAGACTGAGTAAGATGTTGCTGCCACCTAGAGGAGGCTTGCAGTCATTGCCACTGTAGCTTGTCCAAGTAGCTTATCATTAATTGCACTGGCATCCATTATGAAAACTTACACGTTTGCCAAATTAGATCCTTTGAGTATGTAATCCCTTCCTGACATCTGTACTCACTCATATCCCCACCCTGTCACAGAAAAGATGCCGCTCTATCAAAGGGGACTGCCCTTCCAAAGACAAAGATTTGATATACTCCTTAAAAGGGGGCTAGTTCCCCATCACCACAATGCTCCCTGACCTGGCTGACCTTTCCTTTCTGTTTATCAGAATATGGCCTAAAAATGGGCTGGAACTCAGCTTTCTGTATTTATCTGTCGAGACACTTTCTTACCTTTACAAAAGTGAAGTAAGGAAAAGAGCCATTTGTAAAGGGGCATATGAAGTTGAGAGACAATAGATGAATTCTAGCTGGAGCACTTTATCTTTCCTCTCTGTGTATGGAAAGCCTTCTCAGGTGTAACAAGAGCTAATTTTAAGGACAAAGGTCATAAGGTCATTTAGCTATGGAAGTCCCTCTGTAGGTCACAAGTTAAATCTTAGATTTCAAATTGGTCCAGAAAATTCTTTGATACACATAAAAATCTGAGTGTTTTTGAGACTCACAGAAAACCTGGTCATTGGAGTTACACAAAACATATTAAAAGTATATTAACTACCACTACCATCAACAACAAACCCGAATCAAAACAAACAAAAAGCAAAAACAAAACTTAGTGCTAAAGCTTGTCAATCTCAGAGCTCATGTGTGACTCCATTATAGTAGCAAAGAGTTTAACTATAATTAAATTCTTTTCTTTAAACAAAACAGGAACTTAGCTGGGTTAACATCATGCCAAAGTGCACTGTTTGCAGAATTGTTTACATTTCATAATTTCATCTAACAACATGTGATAAATTTTGTCTTTGGGAAAGTATGATTTCTTTAAAAATAATTTGAAGAACTTAAACATTCCTCTGTCTAATTACGATTATCCTGAAGACAACTGAACTCTTTTTCCCCCATTTGGAAGGGGGATCTATATATTAGTTAAGGAAACCCACCAAGCTTTCTACATGACCAAATCAATTAGAATAATTATTTCTAGGGGTTATGGATAGATTCTCTATATAAAAATAGAAATTCCCTGCAAGTTTGTCCAGACAAGAAACAGAAGTAGAAAATGGGTGAAAATAGGAAAGAGGTAGTGCCAACAACAGAGAAAGTTCCCTAGGCATCAAAACCTTTCTCCTGGTAGATAATAATTGAGAGTGGCTGTGCAGGGCAGAGTAAGCCTCACTGGTCCAGTAAGCTGATAATCTTGCCTTAGCTGTTCTCAGGAAGAACGTGGCAGGAACTTGACAGTTTCAGTCATATAACTCTCATTGACAATATATACACGAAAGTCTGATTAGGGAGTACTTTCCACTGGCATCTGGGGACAGATGCTTTGCCTATGGATCTCTCATCCACCGCTGATGCCATTAATATCATACCAGCTAATGATGACTTATCGCAGTGAGTGCAACAGATGATTCTGTTTAAGTGATGTCATTATAATGGTTCAGATGCACTATAATAGAGGAAAGATGCTCTCTGTTGCATAACAAAAGTTTCCCTTCCACATGATGGGATGCTGTAACTTTGGTGCGGCTCACCTTTATGACCTAGATCTGTTATAGAATGTGTCTGATGGAGACCTGGAATAAACAGAGGGAATTCTATGTGTTTTGCTAGCAGAGGATCTGCCAGTGTCTTTGACATTTAATTATTTTGGAGAATGGTCTCTTAATTAGCATCAGAAGGCTTGCAGCCATCAAAGTTGCACCAAAGATTTGAATTATTAAAAGTTGAAGCCTGATTATGAGTGGAGGCAGCAAACCTCCTCATCTTCATAATTACTATGTGTCAGGATGTATGTGCATCTTACCCGATGCAGAACTGCTGTTCTTTGCCTGGGGATTTTTTGCTTCCTTTGTGAGCTCTGAGGATCATGGGAATTCTTCACTTTTCTCCAGTCTAGCACATCAGGGGAAAGAACAAATGGGGACAGGGCCTTGGGTTCTCTGCAGGACCTTTTCTTCTGGGTGTCCACAGACATCTCATTATTTCACCTCCCAACTGTGCCAGATGTTATTTCCCTTGACAGAAAAGGCTTCCCATCTCCTTTTCAAGGAATGAGGCATTTTCATGTAATGAAGCCAGGCTCTGATCTTAGGAATCATTCTGTGCAATTCAGCAGGTTCACCCTCAGATTTCTTTGGCCTCAGGTTCCTGCAGCTAGTAAATTATAAGGCAACATGAATTCATGTATCATGTGGAACATGGCTTTTGGGGCCAGAGGTGTCTGGCTTCTTCCCAACAGCTCAAAGCTGTTTTTTTTTTTTCTATTTTATTATACCCATGATTCTCACACCTCACATACCTCACCTTTATCTGTAGATTATAAAAATGTTCTCACAGGCTAATACTAAAATGATATTATCTTTCTCCTGTTACACACTCAAACTGTTGTTCAGAGCAGTGCAACCATTTCCATTTAGAAACAGGAAGGCAGGCTCTCAAATCCATCCTTTCTGTAGTGGTTCACTCTGTGAACCTTTAGTCTTTGTCATAGGATACTTTCTGAAATTCTGTTTCAAATATTCATATTCCTTGTGATAGAACTATGCTCATTATCACAAACTCCTACAAAACTGTAGGTTAGGGACTTCAGAAAGGCTAACGATGTGACATTTCTTTCTTAGTATTCGGTGTTGTCTTCCAACAAGAAAAGGAGAGCTGTAGATTGAGTTTACTCTTGAGGTTGGTAATTCACACAATAATACCTATATAACACAACCTCAGTAATACGTTGTCAGTGAAGTTCAATATAGCTCTATTACTACTGAGGTTTTTGTATGCCAGAAGTGATATTGCTCCATTTATCACCTTGTGGGTGTTGTGTATATAAAATTAAAATAATTAAGTATAACATTTTGTTTGGTTTTGTTATTAATTATATCAAATTATAAAGCCTAATGGATATTGTGGGAACTTTCTGCTTGATAGCTGAACCATCAGAAGTATGACCTGGTGATCCCACCTAAGGCTGGTATCTGGAGTGAGGGAAGTCTTATTGATATGGACTCCACTTGTACCACCAACAGGTAGCAAGTGATTGAATGAAATTGCAATGTCCACGGTTTTAGTGGAAATAGAATAATTGGTACAGAGGGTAGTGTTATGATTTCTAGTTGATTCTCAAAATACTAGAAAGGGCTCCTAGATTTTTTTGTTGGATATTATAACTCAAAGCAGTGATGGAGTGTGCCCTCAATGGACAGATTAGTTGAGTAACATAGAAAATGACACTCAAATCATGGTCCCAGGTTACACTGTAGGAAACTGTCCATTACTACTTTCTAGTGAGATGTGTGAACATGTAAAGCGTAAGCACTGAGAAGTTTTGACAGTAATTGGCATGACCATGACATACTGATATCGAAGAAAACACAAAAGTATATCAGTGAGTCGCAATTTGGGTGAAAATGATTCTTTACCACAGACAGACAAGCTAAATCTAGAAAATATAACTTTTCTTGAGCAGATATAAGCAGGTACGAGCAGATACTTTCAGAGTTTAGTGAGTCCCAGAGTCATGATGGGTTTGAGCATAATATTGCTTGCTATACATGTTTGTGGGCATATTGATTTACCTCTGTAGACCTGTTTCTTCATTTGGAAATGGATATAATAGTGCTTTCTGTTTTATTCAGAGATAAAAAGATCAAGAGATAACTCAGGACAAATGCTAAGTACAGGGATGGGAGCACAGCAAGGTAACTGCTTGCATTTCCTCTTGTTTTACTTTGTGACTCTGCTGGTTCAGTCTTGCTTGCAGAAGGGTAGGGCAATTCTTGAGGACATTGAAGTCAGCAAGGACCCTGCAGTGTTTGCCTGGAGCCACAGTCACCCAACATTGCTTTATTTAGTACTAACAGTGGTGGTCTTCTGATACGTTCCAGGAAGATCATGAAGAATTTAGAAATGCCTACCACTGATGCCTGTAAAATGTATGAGCTGAGACTTTGAGGAACTGCTAGCAGATATGAGCAGGCAAGCTGCTTTATTCTCCAACTTTGCCTCACCTAAATAGACTTCTGTTAGAGGCAAAGAGAAGGTACAAAAATAAATCCTCACAAGAATGTTCAAGCTAGAAATGGCAGACATGTCCAGAGTCTCTTAGGAAATATTTATTTTTCTCAAGATTTTGCTGAGATGCTATGACCCCTTGTCTATCAGAAGTCAAGAGTGAAAGTAGGGGAGAAGAGAATTCTGTTTTTCTGATGCCCCCCCCCCACTTCAGTCTACTTTTGATTAAATACTCCCCCAGCAGTGTCTGAGCAGATTTCTTATGCTAACCCGGTTCCTGTCTTTTTCAGGTATTGCCCACCTTGCAGTGCTTTAGAACCAACCCCAAGGTGAAGTGCTAGCCCCGAAGATCTGCAATGAAACCACACTTGAAGCAATGGCGACAACGAATGCTCTTTGGAATATTTGTTTGGGGGCTCCTCTTTTTGGCAATTTTCATCTACTTCACCAACAGCAATCCTGCTGCACCTATGCCCAGCTCCTTTTCCTTCCTGGAGAGCCGTGGGCTCCTGCCTGTACAGGGCAAGCAGAGAGTCATCATGGGCGCTTTACAGGAGCCCTCCTTGCCCAGAAGTTTGGAGGCAAGCAAAGTGCTGCTGGACCGCCACCCTGTGAACCTCTTCCATAACTGGCCTGGGGACCCACAGAAGTGGGACCAGGCTCAAGACGGCTTTGGGGATGAATTTTTTACATCCCAGGTTGGGAGGAAATCGCAAAGTGCTTTGTATCCCGAGGAAGACAGCTACTTTTTTATTGCGGGTCAGCCTGGGTTGTACCACCACAGACAGGGTGCACTGGGGCTGCCATCTCCAGGAGAGACGTCTTGGCGGTCACGACCTACCCAGCCCAAGCAGGAGAAGCGGCGCCACTCAAGGCGAGCCAGCTTGCTTGAGGAAGCCTATGACAGCGACATGCTATCAGCCTCCATGTCCAGAGCCTTCCTGTACCGGCTCTGGAAGGGAACCGTGTCCTCTAAGATGTTGAACCCGCGCCTGCAGAAGGCCATGCGCTACTACATGTCCTTCAACAAGCATGGTGTGCGCTTCCGCAGGCGGGGGCGGCGAGAGACTCGGCGTACAGGGGCAGAGCTGCTGTGCGAGATGCGCAGGCGTGTGCGTGTGCGCACATTGGACGGCAAAGAGGCGCCATTCTCGGGGCTGGGCTGGCGGCCTCTGGTACCAGGCGTGCCTCTGAGCCAGTTACACCCGCGGGGTCTGCGCAGCTGCGCAGTTGTCATGTCTGCCGGTGCCATCCTGAACTCCTCTTTGGGGGAGGAAATCGGTGGGTCCCGTGGGTCAGTGGCCCCTTTCTGAGCTTTCTGAACTTCTAGTTCCAGTCTGGGGCTGTGTCCTGTATGCTGGACAAGCTTCATCCATCTTAGGAACCATAGTCATTGTAGTTGAGGAGAAGCAACCAGGGTCAGGGGCAACAGATGAGTATGGGGGAGGATGCTAAGGTCAAGGATGCTGGAGGTTGATTTTAGGGGTGCCACTCATAAAGAGAACGAAAATGATGGTACTGAACTCCTAAGGGCTAAACTCAAGTTTAAAGATGCTGAGGCGAGGTTGGCTGCTACTGAAAACCGTTTCTAGGGAAGCTTTAGCTGTAGTCCTGAACTGTTCTCTTAGCCTTTATTTGGGTCACAGCCCATGTATACAATGGGGACCTTCTCCTGGATGGTGAGCAACATGACCATAGTAAGACTGCTGTCTACCCTGACATACTGTCCTCAAAACCTCATGTATTTGGAAAGAATGGGTTTCCTACTTCCTCTGTGGCTCAATACTATACAGAAATGGAGAAAAAGATTTAAAGGACTTGGCTGAGCTTGCAAGTCAGAAATCTGTAGGACATGCTAACAGATGGGGAAAGTCAGACAATTTTAATGATTCATTCTTTTGAAAAATCCTCTAAAGATTTAATATTATTTTATGTGTTTGAGCATCTTACCTGCAAACCTGTTAAATGCGCAGTGTGTCATGTGTACTCCTGGAGTCAGTGGGGGCTAGAAGAGGACACCAGATATCCTGGACCTGGGTTTAGTTAAGGTTGTAAGCAGTCATGTGGGTTCTGGGAACCAATCCTGGTCCTCTGCTCTTCTCTTCAGTCCCTCTATGGAACATTCTTGAGGCAGAGCCCCTTGGGATACCTCTGTGTATGTTCTTAGTGCCTTCAGCATGAGGTCCAGTACCATGTGGAGAATAATCTGTTTTCCAAAGTGGGGAGAATCCCTTCACAGTGACAAGTCCTTCTCATAACATAGCCAGACTGACATACAGTGTCAACTTGGTTGAAAGGCATAGAGTAGGGTTGAAGTATATTTCCCACAGTGGAGTTTATATCTTGCTATAGATGGGCTGGCCTGGGCTCACCATCAGAATTCTCAGTTCTAGGTGGACAGTATTCATTTTCACACCCTTCTTTGCCAGAGAAGATACCTATTGTTCTATCCTGTCTCTCCTCCAGGTCTGATAGGTTCTTTTACTGGTAGTTTTAGACTTCTTGTTCTAGTAACTTTCTGATCAGGTATATTCCATTGCTGTGTTCATAAGCAGGGAGTTTGGCCATCAAAATCACTCATTTATTTCACAAGCCTGTATTTATTCCCTAACTGGCTCTTTGCTGAGCACAGACTACAAATGTGACTGAAACAGCCTCAGCTTTAAGCCTAGATGCAAAAGATCAGTTACTACATTCTCCCTGCAGATGGCAGTAGATCCTAAGTCACTAGTCTGGAAGTAACATTCAGGGGACATTGCTCCCCCATTATAAGTGAATAATTCGCTGTTTCTTGTATTCTTCTAAGCAGATCTTTTAGTTCTATGTCCTTGAAGAGTGATGGTGTCCTGCAGACAACCCAGACCCCAGCCTCAGCCCCTCTGTTTCTGGTGAATGAAATTAAGCGGGATTTTTTTTTTTTAATGTTAAAAACCCAAGGCAATAAAAACAAATCTGGACTTGTAGCATGAGGTCCCTGTGTCTCCATGCTGATACTACATCAAGCTCATAATAACACTATCCATGTGACACATAAGCTTGTAGCAAAACCCAGAGCAGAAAAGCCTGCAATTTATTAAGAAAGAGCAGTGGTTTAGAGGTCCCCAGGGTGAAATAACACCACAGCTCTTTCTCATTTCTGAAGACTAATATTAAAATTCAGAAGAGGAATTTAAGTATTATGCTTTAAAGCAGGCAGTAACTTTCTTCTGGTTTTGTTTAGCTTTAAACACCTCTGCATGGTAAATATACAATACTCAAATGATTCTTGCATACAAAAGTGAATTCTCTTATCCTTTATTTCTTCATAAATGCTCATGACTAGAGCTTTTTAAACTCTATTAAAATGTGGAAGAGGTTGTGAAAGTCACCAAGAGCCATGTTTCTGGGAAACATGAAAGGTCACATATGTTTGTTAATTTCTGTTATCCAAATTTAATTTCAAGGGAGTAGTTTCATGATTAGAATTGTAATGTCCCAAATGAGAATAGGCTTAAGGATTTGGTTGTTTATTTGCTATCTTGGTTGGTTTGTTCTGTCTTATTTTATGTAGTTTCAGATTTTATACCTAGAACTTTTAAGTCATAGAACTATAGCATTGCTCAGTTTGTCTAAGCAAAAAGCTTTTGTGTTCATCTCTGTAAGCTGGTGTGGCAGGACCATTACTGTACACCTCAAGGTTTGGCCTCCTTTCTGCTTACTTGATGTTCCCGTTGCAAACCTACATGATCTTTAATGGCTCTCAGAAAACATCATCGTCAACAACAACAAAACCCTTGGAGTGTTGGGCATATTTTAGCTAACCTCAAATTGCCTCCTCTGGATTGGCTAAATGAAGATCAGAAGGGCTGCCAAAATGGACATGGTGAAAATTTTAAAGCAATCCAAGGCAGTTCTATATTGTAGCCAACCCTCTGCCAGGAATGCTCCTTATCTAAACTCACCTGCTTTATTTTTTCAGAAGGAGGTCAGCCTTTCATCTTCCCCAGGTGTTTGTTTTGTGAGCATTGGGTCCTTTTCTGTTGGCCCCATTCTGTTAGACCAAGATCTATGGAACAGTTGTTTGGGGGTTGAAAAATATAGTGATTGTAAATGCCTTTACTGTGTATGTGTATATATAGCCTGAGCTGTTTTGGAAACATGGAACATTCTTTCCTGGAGTTATGAGAAAGTTTTTTGTCATCCCTACAACAAATGACAATTCCTGGCAGGGCTGTGAAAGCACAACACAGAAAATAACAGTGTCCTGAGAGGAGACATCACAGTCCTGATGTGGAAGACCACAGCTTGTGTTACTGGACAACTGAACACTGTCATGTAGGTGCAAAATAGGAGGTAGCTGGCAGAGTAAAGGGGAAGAACCTGAAGTAATTTCTGAAGCAAGTCACAAACTTCAAATTCTATATTATGCTGTGGAGACCCCAGATCATGAACAGACAATTCCAGTGTCCTGTGAACTGGAGAAATGGAGAGAGATGTATAGACAAACAGTATAGAAATGACAACAGGACCCTAACCTCACAGTGAATTACTTTTTGGTGAGCTGAGAGGAGGTCAAGATAGTCTGTTCTGCAGAAGCTGGACCAGGCCAAGGCACAGGTGTAAGACTAGCACAACTTTAGTGAGTACAGAGGCCAAGAGGAGGAAGAGGAGGACAAGGCAGCAGTGGCTGCAGGAAAAAAGCTGGCTAGGAAGGGAGGACGGCAATGCATAGATATAGTCCTGTGCTTTCAAAACCAGACTTTAGTTACTAATTGCAGTAGCAGTGCCAGATGAGATTGTTTGCTGTAGACAAAGCCCTATTTTTGTGTGTTTTAGCTGTTGTAAAATCAGCATCACCAAGGACACGTACATCTAAAGTCCCATGGGCAGAGTGTGGATTCTGCAGATGGGTCTCTAGGAATGGACAGCAATGTCTGAGACAAGGGAACATAAGGGCGGAAGTTTGATTTTAGAGGCATCACATGTGAGCCTGGGTTTTAGGGCCTCAGAGAAGTCAAGAGGCATGGGCAAGCCAGAGAGGAGAGGGAGAATGCAGTGGGAATTGATAGAGATAATTCATGGTTTTGTCCTATCCCTGCAGGCCCTTGACTGGTGTCTGGAAATTGCATGCTGTGACTGTTTAATTTTTATTTTCTGTTCAGCACAAGTCAGGAGAAAAGAGCTAGATGGAGACTTGGTGTCAGGACTTCTGGCATGCCTGGCTGCTCCTTGATGGGTTCTATTGTAAACTCAGCATAGCTCTACTGTGACCTAGAAATGCCTTCTCTAGAAGTGAGGCTTGACTTCATTCACCTTGTACTTCCTGTCTGATCTCCTTTTCCTCTAAGTATGAATGAATGGCTTAACTTCTGAAGATGTGTTACTATGCAGTCAAGTGTAGATTTACCAAGTGCTTATGGCTGGGACAGATGGTTTCAGATTGTTCACCTTTGGCTCTGTTTACTGACTGCCTTCTCTATCAGCAGACACTACCACAGCCTCCTTTGTACAAGTGACCTTGAGACTCTTGAGACCAGTACTTCTAAGGCATTCACTGTCCTCTGCCTTGTAACACTGCAAGATACTAAGTACTGGTCCATCTATGGCACATGTGGGTCACAACTCTTTTGAAGGTGAATAACCCTTTCACAGGAGTCACCTAAATACCATCAGAAAAAACAGATACAAATCATAACAGAAACAAAATTACAGTTATGAAGTAGCAATGAAAATAATTTTATGGTTGGGATTCACCATAACCTGAGGAACTATATTAAAGGGTCACAGTATTAGGAAGGTTGAGAATCACTCACCTGGGGCAATAAGCATTTAAACGTCTGGAGATTTATGAGGATCATTTTATTAATTGGAATTATAGCCAATTTATTGAAATATACACATTGCTTAGGATACTGGGTATGTTTATCAGACCATGACACAGAGACTGTGCCACATTGGTGGGCAGTATGGCTTTGGGCAACATGGTTACCTACAAGAAATGTTTGGAAAGTTGGTGTCATGCTTGTTGCCCAGCCTTGTGCTCAAATCCTTCTGATCCCCTAGTAAGACCCTGAGCTGCTTCATGTCTCCCTCTTCTCTCTTGATTTCTTGATGGTTTTGTCTGTATCACTTCAAATCTCTGATTCATTTATGATTTTTAGGGCCCATTCTCTACAAGGTAAAAATCAATTTTTATTTATATCTCAAGATCTTTTCCTTTTCAATTTTGACATATGTCCTGGGAAAATGAAAGCAGTGAAGTATAAAACTGCTGGCTGCTGAGCACACATCTGGGGAGGGGCGCCCATAACACAGGTCACCATTGTTTCTTTACCACTAAACACTAAAAAGAATGAATGCCTTGTTTGCTGTAAATGGCTGTGATGTGGCAGGCAAAATGGGTAGTTTAAGGAAGTCTTGGCCTTCTCCTTGCAGGTGTTTTTCAGATCTTGTGTGACAAAGAAAAAAATGGGAAAAGGCACCTATACATGAGAAAACCCTGTGGGATGGAATTGGGGGATCAACTAGTCACTCATGCCATGAAATACAGTTTTTATTTAAAAAATAAGATGACTGACAGACAGACTTTAGTTATTTTGAACTGGACACTTGACAGCTTCCTTGTCAGAAAATGAGTTAAATGAGACTGTCACTCTTAGAAAGATAACTGACAGTATTTGTTGCAATGACAAAAATGAAGCTTCTAACTAGGAACCTGGAAGATTCCCACATGTGAAAACTGATGAGATTCATGCTTTATTTACCAATATGGTCTTTGGATGATTGATAGTGGAACATAACAATATTTAGGTTCATTGCCCAACTTGTTTCCTGAATATTCAAATTATGAACAACATTGCAAGATTTTTACTGGATAAAGACCCATTTTAAGAGCAATACAGAATATATTATAAAGGGACAAGCTAAGTGGATTGTTTGATTTATGCCCATTAATTTTAATTTCTATTAAAAATTAATTTTAGAAGATTTATAACTTCAGCCACAAGTATAGTACTTTCTACAAGGAAGATAGCTTGAATGGTAGGCACAGACACCAGACTGTCAAAAAAACCCCTGATTTTCACTTCATAATAAAAGTAGGATGTCAGTAATTTTTTGGACCAAATTTTAAAAAAAAAGTTAATTGATATGCTTTTGAGATGCCACAAGGCTTTTAACAAACTACCACTTACCAAGTATGAGTGAACCCTTAAAGAATATTCACAATTTTCTGGAAGAGTTTATAAAATCTTCTCTTTTTAAAAATCTGTGTACATGTGCATGTATCTGTGTTCGGCTCTGTGTGTGTGTGTGTGTGTGTGTGTGTGTGTGTGTGTGCCTGTAACATGTCCTGGTAACGATTAAAATATGAACTTATTGCTATGTATAATACAATCCTTATAATTCAAAATTTTAGATTATTATGTAATCTAAATATGATTTTAATTGTAATATAAATAAAGCAATTCACTGCAAAAATGCAAATCAGAGCTTAACTCATGTAGTCAAGTTGCCTGAAAGCCCTCAAGGGTTCTGTATTATCTTCACAGAGCTTAGATTTCTTGAAATCTTGAGTTTTATATACTTTTTTTCTTTTGAAGAGCCATGTAGTAAATATGTTAGGCTTTGTGGGCCATAGGATCTCTATTTCAAAGTCAGTTTTGCCAGAATAGACTGTCCTTTTTATATGGTTTTTACTTATGTCTGTTTTACAGCTTTATTCACTAAACCATGGTCAAGCCACATTTATTCTACTGATAATAGCTTGCCAACACTTTTAAACTTTGTCTCCAAAGAACATTATGAGTGTGTGCCTGCAAGCGTGTGTGTGTGTGTGTGTGTGTGTGTGTGTGTGTGTGTATGTCAGTGTGGCTAAGTACCCTTTGTAGATTCACTGTGCTCAGAACTTGTCTATAACAGTATCTTTTAAAATTATTGCTTTAGTGGGCATACATAGTAGCTTCTACTCCTTAGTGAGTAGGGTGTAGACTCTGAGAAAGGAACACCAGAACCCCTTTATAGAAAACAGAATGTACAAAATTTGACCACAGTAAGTACAGCATCCATGTGACTCCTAGCTGTGTCATGAATCTATTGAGACAGACACTCATACAGTCAAGTCACTGTGCTTGCTACAAGTTAAATTTGAAATATGCACGGGATTCTTAAAGCTAAAAACATCCCCTTACTGTTTGTACAAAAGCCTTGGCCACTGGTAACACTGCTAGTTTCTCTAAACTCCCTGGCATCCACAGTGGGAGGAGAGGCTTCATCATGAAAACAAGACATTTTCTTTTAAATCTAAACCACAAAAGGTGATAAAGCAGACCCAAAGGCCTTAGTTTTTAGACTGTTTTAGAGAAGGCAGCAAGACTGGATAGCAGTTCTTATCATGACCTCAGCTTTACATGCTACGAAGACCCGAGTGAGCTGCTTTTGTGCTCCCAGCATCTCTACCTGTTCCTGTAGATCCAGCTTCTAGATGTTTTGAAATTTTAATATTATACAGTATAAAAAATAACAAACATCTAAATGTAACAAGCAAGATAAGTCACCCGTAATCCATTGGTTTTGTGTATCTGTAAGAACAGATATACACACATAGTACTTCATCAAGAAACAAGGGGACACATCTGACAAAATCTATCATTAAGTGACTTTGTCAGTAGTGAGCCTCATATAGTATACTTGGAAAAATAAAATGTCACTGTTACTAGGAAGTATAACTTGGGACTACATTTATATCTCTGAGCTGGTATTGACTGGAGTGCCCTAGTGCTATGTGACTCTTGAGTATCCATACTAGTCTCTCTAGCCAAGCTGTCATCCAAAATCAAAGTCAAATTATCTTTGTATATGTATATTAACTTTATTAGTGGTTTCTAAGTTTCAGATTTTGCAAGATTTGTTTTAGTGCTTTTTTCCCTTAGATTATGTGATTTTCATAGAAAAAAAAATGTCACTTATGTGCCCTTAGATTCTCATGATGCAGTTTTGAGATTTAACTCTGCCCCTACACGTGGCTATGAGAAAGATGTCGGAAATAAAACCACAGTACGCATCATTAATTCTCAGGTAAGATGGATCAAGTGTTTTCTCTGTAACATTTTGTAGGCAAATTATTTAACTTGATGAGTGAATAGAAATATGGTCAGCATAACCACAATACCATTATTTTTATGGATCTTGTAGTCATGAAGAATTAGTGAAGTAAAATGCAAAGAGAGGAAATTTAGATGTGATTTGGGTACAAAAGATGAGTAAGACCAAAGGGAGCTTGGATTAAGCATAAAAAATGATTTTTACTTACGTGTACATCTTCTTGTTATTATAGATCAGTGGTTTCAACTTTCCTAATGCTGTGACCCTTTATTAAAGTTCCTCATGTTGTGCTGACTCCCATCCATGAAGTTGTTTTCATTGCTCCTTCATACTGTAATTTTAATATTATTAGAAATAGTTAATGTAAATATTTTTAGAGATAGATGTTTGCCAACGGTTTTGCTATGCACAGCTGCTGTCATAGATTATCATGATTCAGTTTATGAACTGCAAAATTCTATTTATTACAAAAGATATTATTGAAATAAGGAATGCAGTGTTAAAGGGATCAGAAACACATGAAACATGAGAGCTTGTAGTTGTCTCTGAAACTTCAGTTTATGATTTGGAAATTTGAAAAATGAAAGTAAGTTGCTTAGTGGGAAGCAGAAGTATCTCTTTTTTTATGTTCATAATGTCTTTTGAATTTGTAGAAAATATTTCCAGAACAAACCACAATTTCTAATTTCCATAGTTAGTAGAAAATGTAGAAAAATGAGATGACAAATGATTTATGGCGAACTGCTTGTAGGACAAGCAATTTTTACCCTGTACTGTTCACTGCACTAGGCAGCCTGCAGCAAAGTAAAAACAATTACCATATTTTCTTAATTCATAGTCACTGGTAGTAAGATCTGCATTTCATTTAGAATTTCTCAGAAACTGATAAACCTCAGCAAATTAAAATTCATGTGTCCTGTAAGATATATTCTGATTTCAAAACTATTAAGATATGATAAAATTAAAAATGCATCTTCATAATGGTGAATATTTTTAGTTTAGTTTTAGGTCAAGTCCACCCTGTTTCCCTCCCCTCTGAACTCCTACTAGTATTCCCTCTCAGTTTCATATTTTCTCTTCTTTTGATTTGGGTTGTTGTTGTTTGTTTTGCTTTTTTTTTATACCACAAAATGCACTTAGTGCAACCTATATGTGCAAGGTCATGGGTCCATCTTCTGTAGCTTTGGTATCCTTTCAGAAGATACATCCCTGAAAAAAACCTATCTCTCTCTTCCTAGAAATCATCAATTGCTAGTAGCTCTTTAGCTGGGGTGGGACTTCATGTCTACCCCCTCTCTATGGTGGAATTTTTCCTAGCTTAATCTTGTGCAGATCTTGTGCTGTTTTATCCGGAAAACATTGGTGAGATGTAGACATACACTGCGTATATCTCTTACACTCTTTCTAACCCTTGTTTAGCAATGATCTCTTAATTTGGGGGAGATGAGATGTGTTATATTCTCATTTATTGATGGGCATTCTGAAGTTTTGCATTCTATGCCTGTTCACGAGTTGTAGTTTTCTGTGCTAATCACCATCTATTGTAAAATGAAGCTTCTCTGATAATGATCATTGAAAGACCCATTTATCTATGGGTATAAGAGCAAGTCATTGATGTCAGATGCTAAATAGTTCTCTCCTAAAGTCTATCCACCATAAGTTCATGACTCGGTTGATTGTACCAAACATGAGTTCCATTTTATGGAAGGGACTGAAATCCAGTGAAAAAGTGGATTGTTATTCCCATAACTTCCGTTCCATTATTACACTAGTAGGTACATTCTGCTGAGCCAGTCTGTAGCTCTCGGGGTTTACATCTAGAGGATAACTTTTGACCTTCATAGCACTGTGAAAGCTAGTCAGTAGGGAATGAAACTTCCAATCAGTGCCTGATTGTTATCTTCGTGTCATTTTATTATTATTATTATTGGATATTTTACTTACATTTTAGATGTTATCTCCTTACTCCTCCCCACTCCTGCCTAGGAACCTCCTATCCCATCACCCCTCATCCTGCTTCTCTGCAAATGATCCCCTACCTACCCCCCACTCCCACCTCCCCACCCTTGAATTCCCCCCCACACAGGGTTCAGCCTTCATGGGACCAAGGATCTCCTCTCCTACCTATGCCCGACAGGACCATCCTCCCTTACATATACAGCTGTATCCATGGATGTCTCCCTAAGTGCTCCCAGGCTAGTGGTTTAGACTCTGGGATTTCTGATTGTTTGGTATTGTTACTCTCCTCATGGGGCTGCAAACCCTTTCAGCTCCTTCAGTCTTCACTCTAACTCCTCCATTGGGAACCCCTTGATCAGTTCAGTGGTTAGGTGTGAGCATCTGCCTCTGAATATGTCAAACTCTGACAGATCTCTAAGGACAGAGCTATGTCAGGCTCCTGTTGGCATGCACTTCCTAACATCCACATCAGCGTCTACCTTTGGTGACTGCACATGGGATGAATACCCAGGTGAAATGGTCTCCAGATGGCCCCTCCTTCAATTTCTGTCCCACACTTTGTCTCCATATTTGCTCCCATGAGTATTTTGTTACTCCTTCTAAGAGGGACCAAAGTGCCCCCACTTGGTCTTCCTTCTTCATGAGCTCCATGTAATCTGTGAGTTGAATCTTGGGTATTTTAAGCTTCTGGGAAATCAGTCTGGCTGTTCCTCAGGAAATTGGACATAGCATTACCTGAGGACCCAGCTATACCACTCCTGGGCATATACCCAGAATATGCTCCTACCCTAATTGGTGAGGAAACCCAATTACAAAAGAACACACATGGCATTCACTCACTGATATCTCCATGTCTTATGACTGAAGTAAGTGGTGTTTTTAGTAGTAGGGTCCTATCATTAGGTTCTAGAATGTAACCAAGTGCAGTGGCTATGACTTCTATTGTTTTATAGCCTATGAAGCTACACATAGGACAAAAAAAAATCCCAAAGAGATAATATATTCAGGGAACTGTGCCTTCATATCATCTACCCCACTTAATTCCATTTCATGTCATTTATGCTCTTTTACCCATCTCCCATCATCTCTTACTATGTTCCTGACTTTTTTAATTAATTAATTAATTAACTTATCTATTTTGATTTCTTTCTTTATTTTTATTGGATATTTTTGTTTTATTCATTAACATTTCAAATGTTGTGGTGGCTCACACCAGCCAAATTTGCTGAAGAAGGGTTACTGACTTCTTTAAGCATTACAATTTAAACATCCATATCTAAATAGAGAACCTTTAATGTTTGTCTTTCTGAGTCTCGGTTACCTCACTCCAGAATGGTTATTTCCAGCTCTAGCCATTTACCTAAAAGTTTATTTTTTTTCATATGAATAGTAAACCACTGTGTATATGTGCTGTATTTTCAATATCTACTCATTATTTGATGGACTTCTAGGTTGTTTCCTTTTCCTGGCTTTTGTGACTATAGCAACAATAAACATAGCTGATCATATATGTGCCTTTGTAGTAGTATATAGAGTATGAGGGTGTATGGGTCAGAGACTAGACCTATATCTAACCTTTTGTGGAACCTCTACGTCAGTTTTTATCATAGTTGTACCTGTTTGCAATCCCATCAACACCTAGAAAGAATTTCCATCTGACCACATCCATACCTGATATTTTTCTTTTTAAAATTCAATACTATTTTAGTCATTCTGACTAGTATAAGATGAAATGTCAAAATGATTTAAACTTGCATTTCTCTTAGCTGGATAACATGCATTTATCTAGCTAAGGATATTGAACATTTAAAAAAATATTTCTTCTTTTGATAACTCTGTTTGGTTCTATGCCACAATTTTTAATTTGATTGTTTGATTTCATGGTGTTTAATTTGTTAAATTCTCTGTATATTTTAGACATGAACACTCTGTCAGATGTATAACTGGTAAAGATTCTTTTCCCATTCTTTTGGTTGCTGCTTCACTCAAGTGATGGTGTCATTTGCTGTACAGAAGCTTTATAGCTTCATGAGGTCTCATTTGTCACTCTTCGGTCTTAATACCTGTAGTTGATAGTTTTTTAAAAAGATGGATGGCAGGTGAAATTAATGGATCCATCAAGAATTAGATAGGACCTGGGAGGAAGGACTACGACAGACACCTCCTAACTCAATTCTAGTTGTTTTTTATGGATACCTGTCTCATGTCACATATCAAAGGTAATTAGGAAGCCAGGACACTGAATTAGCTGAGGAGTTTCGTCTTGCAAGGGATGACAGACGTCCTTGATGCAGTTCTGATAAAAATGCAGGACTTTGTATATTTGGTTTTGTTTTATGTTTAAAAAAATACAACAAACTTTAAGCTTACTTTAAGTGACTTTCTCCCTAAAATCTGAGCCTTACTCTCATTTAATTGTGACGTGTTTTAAAAATATACTTTTGATGAAGCAAATACTAGTTATAAAGATCTTCATTTCCCCCCCATGTGCTTACAGATTCTGGCCAACCCCAGCCATCACTTCATTGACAGTTCTTTATATAAAGATGTTATCCTGGTAGCCTGGGATCCAGCTCCTTATTCTGCCAATCTTAACCTGGTAAGTGTTTTTCTTCATGTCCTAGAGCATTGTTCAGACAGTGTCTCTGTTTAATTACCCATAAGAACAGGTCACTGTTATGCACTAACTCTCCTGTGTTTCATGCACCTTTTTGACATCACTTAGAGTAGCATAGCCACTTTCTGCAAATATGCTTTTCCTCTGAGGAATAGAGAAATTACAGCATATATAAAGGCTTAGAAAGTTGTGGTTACACCTAAAATAAGACTGATCAAACTGGCAGTTGCCCAAAGGGATAGGATGGCAATAAAGGGTTTGGAAATAAAATATGTGTAGTTGTCAAAAAAATTATAAACTGTTCATTGTTACTTAAATAAATGTCTCTGACTTTCTTATGGGTGATTCTCAGTGGCTTTTTCTCAATGTGTTAAATTTTATGAAATAACCAATTACAAGCGAGGTTTTTTTTTTTTTTTAATCTCATGGCAAATTGTTATCTTCCCAAGCAGAAAACTGGCCATGTTGGATGGGACTTTATATGAAAAGCCCGTGGGCACATTTGTTTGTTTGTTTGTTTGCTTGTTTGCTTTTTAAACTGGGATCAGACAATTTTATGTTCATCCTAATGAGTGAGTGTCCTTTACCAAAACCAGGAGCATACAAATTTCTTAAGATGAATGTGAGTGACAGATCTTTGCTCCTTCAGGGATCATCATTTTTAGAACTCCTAGGATAGAATTGGCCACCAAGAGGAGTGTATGTGCTACTGTCCATCTTGAGCCTCAGGCTGGACATTTGCTTGACCTTATTACTGGTATTTTGTTTGGTTTGTGTTTTTTTCTTTTTTTTTCATTTTTTTTTTTTTTTTACCGGTGGTATAAATCAAAATCATGGCTCATTATTTTTTTTTAAATCTGCCTGTCAGATTTCCATTCCAGAAGCAGAGAACACAGCCTCAACAGGATTATGTGGAAAACTGAATTTTCTTATGACCCCTAGACTAAGAGTCAAGTATCAATGGATATTAGATATTTTTAGCTTTCTTCTCAAGCTGAAATACCCAGATTTCAGTTCTTACAGGATTTTAATTGACTGACCATGGGCTGCTGACCTTTTCTTTCATCTGTTGGGAACATGCAAGCTCCAGTCAGAGTCTTCCCACCTTATAGATGGAGACAAGCATGGTTAAAGTACAAGCAAGATGGCCATTATGGTGAGAGCTGAGCTACAAACGATGACATGGAAGGGGGCTAGAATGTACTTGATTCTTTCTTGGATCTCATTTTTCTTGCTTCTTTGCCATTAAGAAGAAACCAAATACATGTTTTTAAAGAAACAAACCAGGTTTCTCAGCCAATGTTACTTGGTATCTTACTATGCATTGATTGTATACCCATGGTGACTATTTGAAAATACAGAGCAGACTGAGCTAAGCCTCTTTTTACATCCTCTCGAAATCCTACATCATTATGACACTTGCCACATTTTTGAGGCTATTGTTTTAAACTAGTTTTATCTACTCTTTTATACAATACATACATGTATTTTACACAGTAAATATAGCTTCTCATTCTGATTCTTATTAATAAATTCATGCCTTTCATTTATCCATCATTATAAAGAAAGAGAAGTTTTCACCAACCCATGTCAATCCACCCGGTAAGTTGTACAGTCTTCCTCCCAAATTACAGGATAATGATGTATTTTCTGCCACTGTTGTACAATTTGGAAAATCTACTTTCAAAACACACTGCTTGAGACCAAGGACCAGGAAACCAACATACTACAGAATGAGCCAAATCTGGCCATAGTTCTCATTATAAAACTGGAGTAGAACACAGGATGCCCATTGGCATTAGCTGCTGTGACTGTTTCCATGCTGTCATGTTCTATTCATGGCAGACCTCTGGCCCAAACCTCTCAGATGTTTACTCTTTGACCTTTGCAGAAAATCCTTGTCATCTCTTATCTAGATCCAGGTCTGATTTTACTATGAATAAAACATCATTGGGAGAGGTTGGTGGGAGGAAAGGAAAAGGAAAATTGTATAATTATTAATTATAGATTCAAAAATAAAAGAATTAACTAAAATATACAGCATTATTCCTATCAGGGCTAGAACTATAATCTCTCTTTGTACTTCCCCACTAGACCAGATACTTCTGTACCTTATAGCTCTAGCTTGGCCCTAGTCATATTTAGTGTTGTCTCCTTGTCACAACATTATCTCTACTCAATTTGACTTGTTTTTATTTTGTTTCAGTGGTATAAGAAGCCAGATTACAACCTTTTCACTCCATATATACAACATCGCCTGAAATACCCAACTCAGCCATTTTACATTCTTCACCCCAAATTTATATGGCAGCTTTGGGACATTATCCAGGAGAACACAAGGGAGAAGATACAGCCCAACCCACCATCTTCTGGTTTTATTGGTACGTGTGTCTAGTAGTTGGAATGGTAGGATGCACAAGCAGAGGGAGAACTCATTTTACATAGAAAGAACCAATAACATGTAGTTTGAAATACTAACCAATAAAAGGGACATTGTTCAGTTATGCATTATCAAATTTCCAGCTGTTATACAGAACTCATTCATTCTCATTCCTGACTGGTAGGTCCAAACTTGTGTGACTGGGCAATTATTCTGCCGTACAATGCACTGATGGGTTGTCTGTATTTTTATATTTAGTGCTTTGGCTAAGATGGCCAAAGGCAGATTCTACTGGAATTGCAAACTATGTACCCACCTGTGCTTTCTCCTTCACAGTGGCCTTAAGATAGTTATACTCCTACATGGCAACCTAAGCAGGCGGATGAAAGTATCTCAAAAGACAGGAACCTTCAGACCTAGGGATGAGGATCTGCACATGTGCTGTCTAACCTTTGATAGGAAGCACATTGAAGAATCTGTGGATTTTACCCAATGTCAAGTCCATTCACATTGATAGTGGGATGCCAAACAGAAGGGGGCACTTGGTCCTGCATGATTGCTGGTGGATAGGGCAATGGTGAGGCTAGCTGAAAATTTTCATTGCACTGTCTATGAGAGAGACTGCACTAGCTCCAGCCCAGCATTGGAATTTCACACTTGATAATCATATGTGGCTTATTCATCCAGTTATTGATATGCTAAGTTAATGATTTTGCCCCATTTCTTCATATAAGTTGAGGCTTTTCATTCCCATTTCTATGATGTTACCTGTGTTAGGTGTAGGAAAATGTATCTTGAATCCCTTAGGGGAATATGAAAGGCTGAAACTGAACCAAAGATATTCTGTTTGTTGTCATCCTAAGTTCAGTAAGTTTACAATATTCCTTGAGTTGCACAGAGGGCCTCAATTAATAGTGGAGAGTTTGTAGAGTCAATATTAGCTTCATTTAAATTAAGGACCCAGTACACTGAAGTGAGGCTTGCAGCTTTTGTAGTGGGTTTACAGCATCATAATGATATGGAATCCCAAGAAAACTTAGTGTGACTACTATTAAAGTCATGCCTTTGAAAGTTTCATTTGAAATCTCCAATTCTTCATATTTGTAGTTTCCTAAAGTTCTGTTCATTTAGGAAAGAAAATGTAATTCAGATTTTAGCAAACAGTAAATATGTTAGAATAATGATTATATAGCATAAGGGGACATGGCCCAAGTTTTCATATTACGGTTTGTATATATTTGGCCCAGGGAGTGGCACTATTAGAAGGTGTGGCCCTGTTGGAGTAAATGTGGCCTTGTTAGAGTAGGTGTGTCACTGTGAGTGTGGGCTTTAAGACTCTCATGCTAGCTTCCTGGAAGTCAGTATTTTCCTAGCAGCCTTCAGATGAAGATGTAGAACTCTCAACTCTTCCTGTAGTATGCCTGCCTGGATTTTGCCATGTTCCTGCCTTAGTGATAATGGATTGAATCTCTGAACCTGTAAGCCAGCCTCCATTAAATGTTGTCCTTATGAGAGTTGCCTTGATTTTGGTGTCTGTTCACAGCAGTAAAGCCCTAACTAGGACATCCTATCATCATCATATTAGATCAAGGCAAGAATTTAAAGCAAAATTAGAGGAGTTCACCATTGTGAAGGTTCAGCCAGATGGTTTTAGCCAATGAAGGTAATTCCTAGAGAGCTGAAGAGGAGCTCAGGCATGTAAATCAGCTCTCTTCAGGCTGTTCATTGTGGATGTGGAGTTCTCAAAGGCTCACTGTCGCCTTTTAACTTTTTTTGTTTTAGGAAATGAACCACAATTCATTGCCCTTGAAAAAAAGTAGTCTGGGAATGCCTAGGTTTGGGTTTTAGCTCTCCTTTGCATCTTGCAGACCTTTGACCTTAACAAGTTGCTTAATCTCTTGATCATTAGTATCTTCAAATAAGACATAGTAATACAAACTTTTAAGGTGAAGTAGGTGAAGTAGTTGTACAATTTACAAGTGTTATTTTCTATCACTGTCTTATCCAGTGCATCATCTGTTAGCCACATGACTATTTAAATTTCAATTAAGTATAATTAAATAGCAATTAACATCTGTTTCTGAGGCCTGGTAGCACTATTTCAAGTGCTCAGTTGCGCCATCCTCCTGGTGGCTACCATATTACACAGTACTAATTGGGAGCATTTTTATTGTCACAGATCACTGCCAAGTTTTGCCAATTTAAAGAAACTAAAATATAGCACATTTATGAAAAAACATTGGGTTCCCAGCGGGCTAACTGCGCTGTGTGGATAGAGGTAAAGCTGAAATAGAAAACAACTAGGAAGTTAGACTCACTTACTGCCTCTGAACCTCAGTGTATTGAAAGATATGAGATTCTCGCCACTATGAGCAATGGTAGCAACCTGGGTTACTTTTAACAGCACCCAATGGGGATCCCCAAACTGTTGTAGACTTTGTACTTGCTCTTTGATATGGATGAGATGAAGCTTTTCTGTACAGTTATTTGATGTTTTCAAATAGCTGCAGAATGATGTTAACCACATCTCACTCCCTCTCCCATAAAAACTTTCTGAGAAATCAATGAGTTGAGTTTTTTGTTTTGTGGCTGTGGGAAAACTCTTCTAATTAAAGTTGAAGTTCATCATGACCAGAAAGCCTCTAGGTTTGGGATAATATGGGAGACTGTCTTCATTAGTGGGCCTTCTCCTTCTCTGACCTTATCTGTAGAATTCTAAGCATCCTCATATGCATCTACTTGAGGAATGTTGGGTAGCCTTAGTTAGATTACAGGGTTAGTTTCCTTTTGCCTGATAAGAATCTGTTCAGCTAGCACCTGAGAATCCTGCAGTGTTTCCCCATGCCAATGAAGCATTTCCTTACTCTGAAGCCTCAGCCAATGGTATCCCTACCCTCAATCCCCCAAAATTTTATAAGCCTTAAATTACTCTAAGTAAAGTTGATTTGCCTCCTGATAGCCGGTCTTGGTGTGGTTATTCACTGTCCATACTTACATGGCTTTCTGAGCCACCCCCATACTTCTAGTTATCTCTGTTACCTTTGCCCTAATGGACTGTATTGGCCAATGCTCCATAAAAGCAGGAAGAAATACAGTTGCTGTGACCAAATGTACGCTCCAAATGCCCTTTTCCTGCTCTAAAGTCTTGCTGAAGTGTCTACTTGATTAATCAGAATCTGTTATCTCTTAGGCTATAAGCATCAGCTCCTTAAAAAAACCCATTTCGAAGGGGCAACGTGGGGTAGAGTGTTTTAGTATGTATTTGTCACTGTGCTTGAGAGCTGGTCAGCAAGGAGGTCCTCAACCAGAAGTAGACCAAGGCAGGCCCTCCTTGCCTTGCATTATACCCTGTCTAATACTCTTCTGTGTGAAGCAGTAGAAATCACTTCCTTCACTGACAGCAATCCATATATGGGGAGTAGTTTCACATGTGATTGTTGATGCAGCAAACAGCATGCATTTTCTTACACATGTTCAAGAGTTTGTACACATGAAGTGGAGGGAGTCATAAGCTCACTATTTTAATCAAGAAACATGTATATTTGTGCATAAATGAATCCAGTGGGGGTTACCTTAAAAAAAGATTTTCCTGAACCCCAAAATAAAGTGTTATGGTCCCATTGAGAGGCTTGTTCTGGAACATGAATCTGTCACATAGGAAGAAGCCATGTTCATCAGTGATATCAACTGATACTGAGCACTTCCTGTGTTTCAAGCACAAGGCTGAGACCTAGGGTGATGAAAAAATCCAAGGGAACTGTCTTCCTGATACTTGTAGTACAGTGAGATCAGGAGAAGTATTGCCTAGTCAATGTGCAGAGATGAGCATAACTATAACCTGAGGTGAAAGTGAAGGAGCGAGTTGCTTCAAGAAGGTTACAAGGTACTATGGAGGGTCTTGTAACCATTTAGGCTTTTTCTATGTCCACCCATGTTCCCAAAACTGACATTGAGGCTCCCCAATTAGCTCTTAACTTAATATTAACCGATGTATACTAATCTAAGTTCTGCCATCTGCCTAGTTACCTCTCATTTGTTTCATATGTCTGACTTTCTCTGAGTCAAGGTGGTAAATCCCCCTAACTTTTCCCCAGAGTTCTCTCTATGCTGGATGTTCTACCCTTTAATCCTGCCTCAATTCACCATCCATCAGCTTTTTATTGACAGGTTTTACACAGTACATAGAGATTATCTCTACAGTGTCTTTTTTGTTTATGATCAGGTTCCTATCTTTAGGCTGGTATATATTAGGTGGATGCCCACCATAATCTGGGTTCTAGATCTGCATATTTAAATAGCCACTAGCTGAAAATATTTTTGAAAAATAAATTTTGTCTATGTACAGACCTTTTCCTTGTCATTATTCTCCAAACAATAACAACTATTTATATAGCATGTAAAAGATCCATAAAGTTCATTAGAATTTGTGCATAGTAATGTCAGATGTTTTAAAGTCTTATAAATGGCTGGAACACCTTTGGGTTTGGGTATCTGCAAAGGGTCCTAGGTCCAGTTCTGCAGATACTGAGGAATGACAGTATTTGGTAAATGAATAAGTTTTTGCTCACAGGCTCTCAAGGTTTAGCATGTCTTACTTCATCTACCTATATTAGTAATACATTTGTGCAAAGCAGAGCTCAGCAAGTGAAAAGAACGACCAGTAGGTATGACCTTACAGACCTTGTACTAGTGAGTAATATGGAGACGGATTGCCTGCATAATTCTGGATCACAGTTTTTTGAGCTCAGGCTGTCAGAGTAGCTGTATTCTTTCTGCTACAGAAATCAGTATCCTTGCTGTGAAAGGCAGGCAAGAACCACCGAGAGCCTGTTTTGAAGGTAGCTTGTGAAGCCTTTCAAATCAAGGATTCTGAGTAAGTGGAGGAGGTGGGAATTTCCATTTCTTATAGTCTCAAATGGCACTGATGCTGGTTCTGGGCTATTCAGTTCCCCACTCTCAGTATCATAGAAAGAATCAAAGTTGCAGGGAGCTGTAAAAGCC